CTCACTAGCTCGTCGCCCCTAACAGATTTGGAAATCGGAAAATTTTGGAACGATGGGTGCTCACTAGCTATTGCCAAAATAAGGCATTACTTAGGATGGGCGTAGATAGTAACACAACCACATGAAAATCAATGAACACGAAATATTAATAAAATTGCTACTTTTTATACTTAATTCATATTCTAATTTATTCAGCTTAGCTAAATATCGTATCGCTGTTTATGATTCTTACGATGCCATTGAATCAGAAAGAAAAAACCATTCTCAGTGCGATCATAACTACTATACAAACAGTTGCGTCTATGCAAAATGTTAATGATCAGTTACTTTTCACGACCATAATATTGACTATGCAAAAAGACGATGAAAAGTTTGTAAGAACTGAACGCATTCCAAGACCAAAATCGATTGGATTTTGGACCGAAATATTCCCTTACTTAGGTGATAGTGATCCAAGATATAACTTTAAGTATCATTTCCGTATCAAAAGGACAACATTTAATAGATTAATTGAAATTCTACCGGAACATGAGAATTACAGACCATCTGCTTTTAAAAATCAAATCCCAATGCATATCCAACTTGGGGTTGTTTTGCACCGACTGGCAAACCCAATGAGCTATCGACAACTTGAATTATTCTTGGGTGTGAGTGTTGGTTCTGTGGCCAATTTTACGCGGCGATTCATACAGGCTGTTTTAGATTCCTTGAAATACATAATTCGATGGCCAAGTGATATTGATCTGCAGTCAGTAATGGATGGATTTGCTCCAGTTGGGCTTAAGCGTCTTCCGAACGTAATAGGTGCAATAGACGGCTCTCACATCCCTATCAAACAACCACCAACAGTACACCACAAACGTTACATTAATAGGAAGAACTTTCACAGTGTTGTTTTAATGGCAATTGTTGACGACACTGAGAAATTTACGTATGTTTATTCTGGTCAACCAGGGAGCATGCATGATGCGAGAGTGCTGAGACAATCGTCATTCTGGAGAGATGCTATCAATGTGAGTTGTTTACGTTGTGACATTCTCAAGCAATTATTAACAATCATTTACTTTCAGACCCCATCGAAACACTTTCCAAACGATTCCTATATTTTGGGTGACTCAGCATTTCCATTGTTACCCTGGCTTCTTACTCCGTTTAAGGAACCGATCAGTGGTAGGTTGAGCAGAGCGCAGGCAGAATATAACAAATCTCATTCATCTGCTCGGATGGCAGTTGAAAGAGCATTTGGAAAGTTAAAGGGTAGGTGGAGAATACTAAATAACTCTATGGATTTCACTGATCTTGAGACTATAGTAGATGTAATAGACGTGTGCTGCATATTACATAATCTTTGTATAAATTGTGACGATTTGTGGGAACAATGCGAAGAAGATGAGACATTTGTTTGTGCTTCTACAGATATCTGTATAGAAAATGACGCAAGGCTTTTAATGCAGGCCCGAGAAAAAAGAAATAGACTAGTCCATCAATTGTTCGAGCAATAACAATAAATGTTTATTGGCTAATAATCATTCTCTCAATTACTGGCATTGCCATCATTATCTTTACTATTAAGAGACGTAACGAGACCACTCAACACAGACAATAACTTATCCTGAAACTCCATCATATGTCGCGCATTTTGTTCATAAAGCTCCTTAATTATGGTTACCGTCTCTGAAGAAGACTTCTTTTTCTCTTTCCCCTTTTCTTTCTTAACTTTTTTCATTTTGTGTTCTTCATTCGAGTCTGTATTTTTTCTAGTCTCTGAATTATATACTGGATTAAAAACAGGATCATCCTCGAATATTCCTCTCATTTCTTCCTCATACATAAATTCGTGCCTCCCAGATCCGCTCCATTTATTATTGTCAATAAATGCTTTATATTCCTCGACAAGCTTCTCCCACCTATTGATTTTAGTCTTATTAATATAATAGTGCGCTTGTTGTTACTCAAAAAAATTAGTATAATTACCTTTTCCGGAAGGCCTTCAATGTGCGGCCTTCACATCGTTGCTCAAAATCATCGAACATCTTCTGCCAGACTTTAGCCTTCTCATTGTTAGTCTTCTTGTTATTGAGTATTTTCCAATATGATGCAATTATATCAAGGAGAACAAGCGATTCACTATATGACCAATCTTTGCGTCTTTTTATATCTATAATTTGAGCAACATAGCATTTAATTGAAAGCTTTTATGCTCTAACATCAACAAATCAAACCACGATACCATGATTCTTTTCGTTCTCATTATCAGATTCATGTTTTCGTTTTAATGCAGCAGTGGAAGATTCTGTGATCACTGGCTCAATGATAGTCAAATCCTCTCCAATAGTATTAAACGCCAACACATCTGAGTAATTATACTGATCGTAAAGAGTCCTCAGTTGCTCATTTTCAGTCAAGTCGATTGTCTCAGAATTACGAAGCACTATAAAAATTTTGCAATACTTAATATCAGAATCTGGAGGATCGAAATAACTATACAGAATTTAATATTAATTAAGTTTACCAGAAGTTGATGGTGCTGGTGAATGATTGGTCAAAACTTTCCCCTTATTAGCATTTGTATTTTGTCTGACCGTTGGGTTCAAACTGAAAACGCTAACATTCGGGATTTTAAACTTTCTCTTTGACATTTTTTAATCGTTAGCTCAATTTACGAGTTAAGTGAGGAAAACGCTATCTCTTGATAGATTGGAATGCACTATATTCGATAAGATGCGATCTGATGTTAAATATTGATATTATAACTATTAAAGCTATTCACATGTCACTAATGCGAGATTGTATCATATATTGATTACACAAGTAGTCCTAAAATGGCTAAATTTCTATATATGGTATCACCCCTTCCGAAGGGTAAGACAGTTCGTCGCCCCTTCACTAAGTCCATC